AATGGCTCGGTTTTGCCTGATGGCTGGAGCTGGAGGATATGGTTTGATAAAATTGATGTGCACTAAAATATGAGCAGACCGCTTGAGTATTTAGAACAGTGCCAGGCTCATTTTCCATGCCAAGTGCTATTTGTCTAATGTTTCAACTTTTGTAGGAATAACAGTCGCCACAGAGAAAAGATAATATTTCAGACAGAGCAAGATGTTATTTTTTATAGGAACAGAATTCATAGCTTGTGATATGAAAATATACAGTTAAATGCACCTAAGGATCACAAGTGAGTTAACTTTGACTGCACATTAATATCAGTAGAGGGGAGAGCTGTGATGGAATAATACTGTTTTAATGTGGAACACTGACATTGACAGCTGTGCAAAAGCAAGGATGTATGTCAGCGTGGGTACTCTTCCTCAGGGAGGGCTGTAATAAAGCTCTTTCTGATAACCCAAAACTCAGAGCCGCCCATTGCTCATCTAATTGGAAGCATTTATGAGAGCAGCAGCAGGAGAGGCCTTCTCTCTCGCTCTGGAATTAAAATGCTAATGCACTCGAAACAAACCAAACAAAGCCTTTCTACATCTGGGATTTGCATGAACTTGAAAGTAGCCGTGAAAGTCAATACCAGAGGACAGCAAGTTTGAAGGAGCATTTAGCCATCGTATGATATATGACAGGAAGAGAAGCAACCATGCGTAAATCTAGGGACTGATGCAACAACAAAGGCAACATTTTCTACCACTTTGAATCTTGCTTTCTCCTTGTCTTCTTTTAGCCTCCCTCTGGGATGACTGTAGGAGGGCGAGTGTTTATGAGTGGGCTGTAGTAGCAATAATGGTGGATGTTGTCTGTGCCAATGATGCAGGGAGACGTATGATGCGTGTGCTATTCCACACTCACAGCAGGGGCATCCCCAGTGGGCTAGAGCCAGCGTCACCAACCTGGCTGCAACACAAAGATCTAACCAGCTGAGACAGTGCCTGATGGAAGGTCACATCAGGAAGAGAGGAAATGACAGCGCAGCAGGCAACCTGCTGATCAATACTAACGCTTTAATTGGTCAAAGTAATATGAAAAATGAACCAGGTAATATACAGTATACAGAAAATATGGACCTGGAATGCTTTCTGATTGAGACGCACAAAATCAGCTATGATTATGTGTTAACAAAATTCTTCAAACACACAACATGAGCTAAAAGGGCTTGTGGGAAATAAAATTGTTTTATGTTCTTCCAAACCTATACGGTATGACTTTCTTTCTTGAAAAATCACCTTCACAAAAGGTGAATTGTTATCAATACACACTTTAATATAAAATGATCAATTTTAAAATATTATATTATATATAAACAGTAATAGCATGTGCAGCGGCAGCAGCGGCACCCTCCCCCGGGTCCTAATGCCCGCTCAGTATGGAGTTTTAATTCCGTAGCTGCTAATTCCGTAGCATCCCGCTGTTGGCCTACTTCTAATAAAATGAAAGCAAAATACACAAATCAACAGTGCGATTAGATCACGTCAGCATTGTGGTTCATTCTTGAAGCAAAGTTTTGCGTCAAGGTGATTGGATTCACTGTTTTGGATCGCTGCATTTAAACTGAGAATGCACGTACAGAATGACGCGTTCGGTGTATGATAGAGTAAACAGTAATAGTAGCTTACACGAATAAAAAAAAAACATGACACTTGTAAATTAAATAATTTTATATAGCCTATACTGATTTATTCATTAATGTGTAATATGTTATATTTTTTTAAACAAATTATGAGCTCTAAAAGATTTTTTTTTAGAATGTTTACAACTTTTTTGCTTTAGACCATTTACAACTGTTAAATCATAAAATAAAATGTCAAGGTTACCACTGCATATTTCTGATAAAAAATGCAGCTGATCAAAAGTGACAGTAAAGGCATTTATAATGTTATACTGTATAAGATTTCTATTTAAAATAAATAAATTGATAATGCATTGATAGCAATAACATTGATAATAATAATAATAATAATAAACATTTCTTGAACACCAAATAAGCATATTGGAATGATTTCTGAAGGATCATGTTACACTGAAGACTGGAGTAATGATGCTGAAAATTCAGCTATCCAAGGAATGAATAACATTTTAAAATATATTAAAATAGAAAACAGTTATTTGAAATTGTAATAATATTTTACAATATTACTGTTTTACTTTACCTTTGATAAAACAAATGAAGTATTGGTGAGCATCCAATACTTCTTTCAAAAACATTAACAAATCTTACCAACGCCAAACTTTTAAACGATAGTGTAGGTGAATGAGAACTGAGGTTGTCATGCTACAAGAAGGAAAGAAGGCAGTATAAAAAAGTATCATAAAAGTGGTCCATAAGATTTGATGATGAGGCTTTTCAGTGAATATCACATTCTGCATAAAGTCAGTTCTTCATACATATCTTTTGTTTGACTTCAGAAGAACTGGAATATAATGCACAAGTTGCATGGGTTACTTTTATGATCTTTTATAGTGCTTCTTTGTCCTTTGGTCCTTGACAGCCAAAACGATGTGGCCTTTTATCAGTAATTATTTCTTGTTATTTTCTTCCACTGCGCGGGCTGGGAGCCAGGGAAAAAGCTGGCTGCAGGGACCACAGGGCTACCGTGACATTTAAAGTGTTGGACAGATGAGCAATGTATCATGTATCAGAGTGAATTGAGGGGAGTGACTAGAAAGCACTACTTTAAGTGAGTGCATTTTTAAGGACACAGAGTCCTGCTACCTGCAGGCTTCTGCATTGTACATCCGATTTTAATATCTGGGGAATGCAGCAGGGCACATACATACAGTACATTTCAATATTTTAAGTGATCTAACTGTAATGTACAACAGGTTCTCTTCAGGTACCACACACCACTACCTCATGAAAATTCACTCTGAAAGAGTCTGACAATACTAATGATTAAAAATATTCATGTTAATGAATTCATGTAGTTCAATGAGTACATGCATTCATACATTACAATAGAAATTGCTTATATTTCGATATAATCTTATCCACTGCAGTACATGGTTTGTCACAGAGCATCCTTCCATACTTATTTATGTGCATATTTCCTAACAAACACAACGCAACAACAAACAAGATGCAACAATTTCCAAAGAAAGACAATTTTCAAAGAGTGCATTAGTGCCTGCCCTCATTTTCCATAGGGACAATCAGCTATGAGAAGAATCACATCACAATTTAATATATTTAAAGCAAAAAAGCAATTGAAAATTGGAAAAAATTACAAAGGTACAAGACTATACTTAACTCAGATTGTGTGAAGGAAAAAATATCATGAATGATATAATCAAATTAAAAATGATGGAGAAATATAAAAGTATTAATTTAAAGTTGTTGATTATATCTATAGAAACAATATACAGTATTTTTATATATTGTTATTTTTGTGTGTGTGTGTGTATATATATATATATATATATATATAAAGTTCATTGTAAAACATTTATATAGTATTTTGATAGCATAGCGAGACCAACTCGATTACGTCATTTCCTCTTTTGGGATGATTTGCTAACCATCACTCTCTGATTGGTGATATTTTCTATACAGCAGCATGTGTAATGTAGTTCCCCTTCATGGGAACTTCGAACTGCGCCCTCTAGGGGTCGCTATGGGGAACGCCTCATCGTGACCCGTGTCTGAAGCATACATTGAAAAAACACCAACTCGTTGTCCGGCGACAGCCATGACGTCACTACCGGTGCGACTATAGTATAAATAGGCGCCGGGAGCACACATCATTCTCTTCTTCGTCTTCATTGACTGTTCTGTTTGAAGCGTGCATTTCCAAGGAAAAAGTACGAATCCAGCTTTTAAACATGATTATTAAAAAAAAAATGAAATAATGTGAAATGTACAGCATATACGATTGATTAACAACATCTAAATTTACAGTAGGTTTGTCTTTATAGGTTTATTTAAGGTTGTTTAATTCTGTGAGGTTAAACAAAATGCAGTCACCATGTTTTTTTGCTACGTGTTGAAAGTCTTGTGACACCATAAGTTTAAGTGGATACAATTTCCTCTGTCTGTAAACAATTAGCCAAAGGTCAGTCTGAATAAGCAATGACCTAAATGTGCTATGGCTGAGGGGGCTGCCTGTCTTACAAAGGTGTTTAAAAGAGGACGGTGGCCTCTTAGCAAACAAGATTATATGTCAGTGAAAGAACAGTAACATAATCACAAGCATTGCCTTAGGTTTCACAGTACTGGTCTTGTATAATAATTACAGCAATAACAAAAGATGAGATTCTGATTAAAAATTTGCAAGGAAAAGAAGTAACTGCAGTCCCCTGGGCACGTATTAGCATTCAGAAACCATTTTACTTTTATTGAATGGACCAGCAAAACTAATTTCTTATTGGATTTGTTTGCACAGGGTAGGGTAGAGAACTATCCCTGATGGCTGATAACCTGCCTTTATGTAATTCGGCGAGGAGATGTATCTCAGTCAGATATAAGTATGAAAACATTTAAATTCTCATTCTTAGAAGACAATTCTGGCACTCTCTGAGTGGTAGTTTACATGCTTTATAGTTTGTTGTGCTGTGAGCTCTGAGCTCATTTAGGCTGCCAGGCAAAGTGAGGAGAAAAAGGGCTCCCTTTAAAACAACACTGCTTAATCAACTCAGTGTCAAGATAGCCGAGTTGAATCACAACTTGGAGCCGCGTTGCCATGGTTTCTGTCTCGACCCCCAACTAGCTGCCTATAGTTTGATTTGTTTGTTTATTCCTCAGGATAAAACTGGTATCAACATTACAAGTGTGTGAAACCTCTGTTCTATAAATCTGCGTAAAATTGTGGTTTTTAACTCCATGATGTGCTTGCAACGCACCAGCAATGGAAGATATGCAAATCACGGACCGGAAGAGACAGTAAAGGATGACAGACTTCTCCACTCCCTGAAAACACTGTATGTTTACAGAATACTGAAAATTGGACATTTTGCTTACCTGAACAAATCAGTTTCATCAACATGTACTGCCTGCCACAGTCTTTCCTATAGTAACATCTTAAACGATCCACCAAGCAGGTTCCAATTCTGACCTTCTCCTTTTTGCAAAGAAGGATGAGGTTCTCATCTGCAGGAATGAGAGCGAGATCAAAGGAGAGAAAGAGTGAGTAAGAAAGCGACAGCCACACAGATGTTTAAAAGCCCTGTGGATACAACTCACCCAGTGCCCACCCACCTTATTTCAATCATATGACCACAGACTCTTCATATTATTTATGGCAAGTTCATCATTCCAAGCCAAAACATATCAAGTCAATTTTGAGGACATTTATCCAGACTGGTACACAAATTAACCATCTTTGACACTTCAGCTTGTGTACTAAAGCGCCTCTCAAGTCGTATTTACTACTGGGAAACTCTGAGATAATTTTGATACCAGAGTTTCCGAGTTGGGCGGGCCATAAACTTTAAACATTTTAACTTTAAACGGCATCACTTTGTCTTGTCGCTAAAGTAGTGTGTTTATAGGCTATATATGAACAATCATTTGAAGCATATTGTATGTTTTATAAACAGTAAAATAAGCATGTATTTATATGATTGTCAACCAATGGGATGCTACATTTTATTCTTTACGACAACAATGCGCTTGACTGCTACAATCTCTTAATCACAAAAGGGGGAATTAGGAATTTTTCGATAGCACGTGAAGGCAGCATTAGTCTGATGCATAATTTCAGATTTGAAAGATTACAAGTCTTATTTTTATATTTTCTGCAAGTCCAGTTTGATAATGAGAAAATCTGAAATGAGTTGTAAAGGGTTTGATTGATCTGCTTGATTATGAAAAGGGTTATTTAACAAGTGCAAAGAACAGCATCATTATAATCTACAACTTGATGACTTCAAAGTCAATACTCTGGGTTATTTATTTTATGTAATGTAGCATAACTTACCAGGGCCCATTAGCCAGGCTACTGGCGATTTATTTACTTTTTGCATTTGACCATACTTTTCAAAAACAACACAACTGTAATATGAAAATGGAATTTAAACTTATTCTTGTTTTCTTGTTCTGGCTAATTCTAACATTAACTAGCTTTTTCATGAACACAACATGAGGATTAAAATGAAACAGCATCTAATAATTTAATGGCATACATAAAGCGCACTAACCTCCAGATAACCTAAAGAAATTCTGCCTAATTATTCAGCACTCACAAGTGCATTTGTGAAAACATGCATAAAACACTCAAACAAAAAGTACTCACATGTTTTGGTGTAATTCTTGCCAGTCTTGATTATATCTGAAGTAGTGAAAACAAGATGACAGTGCAGGAGTAGAACTAGAATTGAAAAAAAAAATGACAGAGAGAAAGCAAGGGGGAAATTGTTTCATATCACTATTATAAGGTATTGTTTTATTTTAATTCTACTTTATTTGTAATGCTGACAGTGTTACATCTCATGGGATCTTGGTATCTCAGGTGTGTGTGCAGGTGCAATCATTCAGAATCAAGGGAGACCAACTGAATAGAGCAACAAGCTACAATACAGCCTAGCTAATAATTCAACAAACTATGAGTGGTACACAGTGACCTTTATGTTCCTATTACATTATTAAGTTATGAAAATTCACAACTCATAGGCAGACAGACCGACAGACAGACAGACAGACAGACAGACAGACAGATAGATAGATAGATAGATAGATAGATAGGCAATAAAGCACTACACACAATAATTTGAATTTTTAATTCGAATACTTACAAAGGTCTGTAATCTGATTTTTTAATATGATAAACAACCAGTTATAAAGCTATTAAAACCATTTTGTGCATATTACGTGAAAAACAAAAGACGAAGATTTACTAAAAATAACTAAAAACATGCATTTGTTAGCTACCATTAAAATACTTTGTTTTGTGTATCCTAACGTAGTCAGTTTGATTCAGTCTTTTGATGTACTGACGAAACAGTTAATACGTGTTCCCACATTTAGCAAGTTTTAAGTTACCTGACAAAATATTTTAGTGTTTATTTCAGCGTAAACAGACCCGAGTCTGTGAAACAGGGTAAAACGAGAACATTGTGTGGAGACTGTATGACTTTAAGGTAAGGAACAGGTGAAGTAACCTACTTACCCGTTCGCAGAGGAGAAAATAGCCCTATGCAACTTGAACGTCAGTGTTTCTCGGATTGCTCTAAAAAGCCCATATGGACTCAGAGCTGCAGATGAATTTTACTCTTCTAACCTCCTCAGACATGTTTAACCACAATCCTGCAAATTCAGCTCCTCGACATGTCTAAATATCTCGCGCGGCCGTGTTGTCTATGCATGCATTTGCCACCGATCAGACTGTTACATCAAATCATCTGACAGAGCTGCGCAAACGCCGATTTACTCCGGATCCAAAACGATTTCTTACTTGATCACGGCACTTCCATTACAGTGACTGTAAAAAATCACAGTAAACAACTGATGTATCTGTATCCTCGCCACCTCATGGCTGAGTCTCCCGGCACTTCATAAGGCTTTCTGAATAAAGAAATGAGGGCAGGTGTTGCTGTGCCATTATACAGAGAGAGAAGAGGAAGAGAGAGAACACTGCACTCACGACAGACGAATAGTAGCCTACTGGGAGAGTATATAATATATTTCAGCATAAATAGATATAAAAAAGAGAGAAAATCATAACTTTATAGATAATGCTTTGTACAGTAAAATGCCATTAAATAAATGGAGCAACTGTCATCAGCCTACAAGGTGCATTCGTCTCCCTATAACTCTTAAAACTTCACTGTAACATATATCTTTCTAAATTCCAACATAACAGAACATTAAACAGCATAATCTTTCTTATTTGGTTCAAAAACACATACAATGCCTCATTTTTTAACATTTACTCTTCCCACCCAGTCATATGCCAAACATGCTGGGAATTAGAAATCCCCTGCCCATAATGGCAATAAAACCTATTCATGTAGGCTAATTTCAACAGCACAGAAGCTTACATGACATCTCTTCCCTCGTTTTAGTTAAATCATGGCCACAAATTAATAAGTTGCGGACACAAATAGCCACACTGTCTATTATTTATTTTTTCCACATGTCATGTGCAGGACTCCATACAACACAACTTGTGAATAAACAAACACTGTTATACACATTAATATTGAAGCTTATTTCCAAGCAAATTACACGTAATGACACTGTGACAAAATGTTCAAGACTTGTGCTGCTTATTTCAGTTACATAATTTGAAAAAAAAAAAAAAAGAAAGAAAGAAATATAACATGATGGTTTTTTTTTTTTTTTTTTACATATTGTCATTAAGTAAAAAGCCATAAATAATTACATAACACATATGAAAAATCAGTTATACATTAACCAACTACTTGTGTCTTCAGAAAACAAGACTGTATAAATAGAAATGGATGGCAGGTATTGGATGGTCATAACTGGCACTTGACATGTTTGTGGATGAATGTGAAAGAGCTTCAAAATATAATCTGGTATTTACTGACATGTGTAGAGAGATAAACAGAAGAATGTGTTTATGAAAGTGCCATGTATATTGGCATTTAAACATTTCTTGGGATTTTAGTACCACGAGCAAAGAGTAAAGACAACATACTGTGATCTGATACAACAGTGGCTGCATAGCTGTCAGTGTAACTTTACTGTGGCTTACATGCAACTCAAGAAAGCCCCTTCACTTTACTTGTCTTTTTGCAGCTGTTAATTCTCAGAGGAGGTATAGTACAGCAGGTCAGCATTTTCTAAGTGCAAGTGTGAATCACTTTCTCACACTAGTACAAGATCACACCTTTGGGATTTGAGAATGCAACAGCTCAGCAGATATAAATGGGAACAGAATGTGTATAAGCCATTAGATGAATTGCCATTGCTTGTTTCAAATCTCAACAGCCCCTCGCTCTTGGCATGAGCCGTGCTGCGCCATACATCACTTGCTTTGCATAATTTACTGAAAAGACATCTGTTATTATTATCATGCTTAAAATTTATAAGCATTTTATAAAGTTCTGCATATTTGTATTTCAGAGCTGTATATGTATTTGTGGTCACCTTGGCCACACACACAGTCCAAAAAAAAAAAACCGCACAAAATTATAATTCATTTTTATGGTTATCACTGTGTTACCAATTGCAATTTCCAGAGTGGCTCCTGTATTTTCTAGTACAGTGGTTTTCAGTCCTGGCTATTGACCCACAGAACTGCACATTTATGTCTCTCTTATCTGACAGACTCAGTTCACGGAGCTCTCACCTACCGAGCCGATGATCAAAATCAGGTGTATTAGATAAGGAAAATATGTAAAATGTGCAGTGCTGTGGGTCCCCAGAATCAGGATTGAAATCCACTGCTTTAGGGCAGCCACTTTCAAATTACATATCTGCATAGTGGGAATAATGGTCTGCCGTGAGTGTGAGAATGGTTCTCAGTTTCAGTAAACCAGCTGTTTAGTTGGTATACATAACTTGTATTTAAATATTTCTCACATGATGAACCACTAGTGCATTTAGAAACTCAGAAGACATGGTTTTGAATTAGGCTGAAGAGTTTTTCTGAAGACTCTTTTAAGGCTAATTTACACTGCCACTGTTTTACAGTACATCACTTGTCAGAAATTCCAAGATCTGACAAACGGCGATTCAAAATGTTAAATTAGCGAAAACAAGCACTGACCAATGCAACAGATGCCAACAACATACACACTGTCTGTGTCTGTCGATGCAGTGTTCTAATTCTATTCTATCTAGCTGTTCTTTCCTTTTTTTCTCTCACTATTAGCAATACACTACTATTCAAAGGTCTGAGGTAAAAAAAAAAAAAGTTCAGCAAGGACACATTACATATTACTAGCATATTGGCCATTTATTAGTCCTTATAAAGCACATATTAATGCCTTATTCTCCATGACCATATTTTAGATCCCTTAATCCAAACCCATACCTAAACTTAACAACTATATACTAACTATCAATAAGCAGCAAATTAGGAGTTTTTTGAGGGAAACCTCCTTGTTAATAGTGAATATGTTCCTGATTCTAAAGTGTTACCAAAAATACCTTTTAACAGAAGCACTCTCTATTCTATTTCTATTCTATCTGCTTGTTTTCTTTTTATTTATTAAAAAACAACAGTAACAAAAAATTGACCATTTAACACTAGCATTTTCTATTTTTTTTCTATTCTACAGATGTTTTCTTTTTATTTATTATAAAATAAATAATAATAATAATAATAACCTGCTATGTGTACTGCATTAGACAAACTGGGACTTGTCACAACGCTTATATTATTGCTCTTCTGAGAAGTCAAATGTGTCCCACTTTGCCCTAATTCACTCTAATAGGCTACAGTGACAAGTACATTAACATTTTGCCTTATGTGTTTATTTACACTTTTTTTCTTTCTTTCTTTCCCCCCCTACGTTTCTGGTTGCTGAGGGTTGTATAATACATGAAGTATGACTCAATATGGTACAAAGGGCTTGGAGAGGGTGATGAGATCTCAGTGACTACACTTTAAAAAAATTAAAGTTCTTTATCAATCTTTCCTTTAACATCCATGGAACCTTTCCACTGCCCAAAAGAACTATTCACTGAAACGTTCTTTGGGGAACCCCAAATGGTTCCTATATATTGCTGTGACAACCCTCTTTTGTAACCTTTATTTTTAAGTGTGCAGCTGACAAGTGTATATTTCTGCTTCAAATTCCCAGTATTGCTGCTACTGCTACTAAAAAGACCAAAGATCATGATCCACATGTACACAAGAGATAGATACAATATGCAGGTGACCCCCTGTGTGTCTGTGCGAAAGAACGTGTGATTGTGTAACATGTACATGACATAAGCCAAGGAAGACATCTTATTGAACTCTCTGTGAGGGCATTAGAGTGGAAGGTACATCGTGGCTTGCTCTGAGAGCTAGAGGGAGGGAGAGAGAGGGAATATGACAGGGACAAGTGTTTCTGAATGAGGTTATATAACATTCTTGTGCTGGAATCTTTAGTGGAGCCAATCAACATTTTTTATTATTGTAAGAAGAGGTGTGTTCATTAAAAATACACTCTGAGTGAAAGAGAAGATATATGACAAAGGTTAAAAAAGGTGAAGGGATTTCCTTGGATTTCCACATGTACACAAGAGATAGATACAATATGCAGGTGACCCCCTGTGTGTCTGTGCGAAAGAACGTGTGATTGTGTAACATGTACATGACATAAGCCAAGGAAGACATCTTATTGAACTCTCTGTGAGGGCATTAGAGTGGAAGGTACATCGTGGCTTGCTCTGAGAGCTAGAGGGAGGGAGAGAGAGGGAATATGACAGGGACAAGTGTTTCTGAATGAGGTTATATAACATTCTTGTGCTGGAATCTTTAGTGGAGCCAATCAACATTTTTTATTATTGTAAGAAGAGGTGTGTTCATTAAAAATACACTCTGAGTGAAAGAGAAGATATATGACAAAGGTTAAAAAAGGTGAAGGGATTTCCTTGGATTTGCTGACCTTTCCAAATCCTCACTTCTCCTTCTAATTTCTCTGCTTTGGAGGCATTAAATATAATCCATTTCTATTCCAAAGTCATTTGTCTGTGTGTATGAAATGGAGGAGACAAGGGCAGATGGAACAGACATGCTTAAAGATTGTACTGATCTCAGATGAGTCTAGCTGAGTGTACTGTAAATGAGAGAGTGTACCTGTATTTTGTTAGCACTTATCAAATGTAGTATACTTCTTCGTTCTGCTGTTTGAAAGAAGTCTCTTATGCTAGTCTCTTAGTAATATTGTGCTTTCTACTTTACTATATTGTAAAAATAATTATAATTTATTCCTGTGATGGCAAAGCTAAATTTTTAACAAGTACTCTCCAGTGTCACATGACCCTTCAGAAATTATTCTAATATGCTGATTTGGTGCTAATTTCTTATTATTATCATCAATATTGAAAACAGTTGTGCTGTTTAATGATTATTATTATTGTTATTTTGTGAAAATCATAGTAAGAAAGGTAAATAGAAATAATAGAAAGGTAAAAATAACAGCATTTATTTGAAATAGGAATCTTTTGTAACAATATAAATGTCTTTACTGTTACGTTTGATCAATCTACTGC